CTGCTGCTGCTTTACTGCTACCCTTATCTGACATCAGAACCCAGCTTCTGGGTCTGGAGAAATCACTCAGAGGTTAAGAGCACTGGCTGCTCTTCTAAAGGGTCTAGGTTTGATTGATTCCCAGCACTCTCATGGTGGCTCATACTTCAGGAGTAGGAGGGCTGTGGTAGTTTGAGTGTAATTGTCCCCCATAAGCTCATAGGGAGTGGCATTATTGGTAGGTATGCCCTTGTTGAAGTAGTTATGGTCTTGGTGAAGGAAGTATGTCAGTATGGGGCAGGCATTTGAGGTCTCCTTTGCTTAAGTTTCATTCAGTGCCTCAGTCTACTTCCTGTTGCCATCTGATCAAGATGTAGCCAGTAGCACCATGTCTGCCTGCTCGCAGCCATGCTCCCTGCCATGATGATAATGGACTGAACCTCTGAACTATAAGCTGCCACCACAATTAAATGTCTTCCTTTATAAGAGTTGCCATGGCCAAGGTGTCTCTTCACAGCAATAGAAACCCTAACTAAGACAAAGGCTGACACCATCTTCTTGCCTCCCCAGACATTACACGCAGGTAGTGCACAGACATACATGTAGACAAAACACCCATACACATAAAATGTTTACAAAGCAAAATGAACTCAGCTTCCAGCTTCTTTGGGGTGGGGGTAGCTGACACAGGCTATATAGTTGGATGTTCTAGAGCTTGCTATGTAAACAATGCTGGCCTTGAAGTCATAAAGCCCTACCTTACTTTGCTTCCCAAGGGCTGGAATTAAAGGCATGACCTACGATGTTCCAGCTTCTAAAAAAAAAAAAAAAAAAATGAGTGTCTGTATTTTGCTAAGTGCATGTGCATGCAGGTGCCTGAAGAAACTAGATGCACTGTGGCCCCTGGAGCTAAAATTATGAGCAATTGTAAGTCACCCAATGTGAGCAACTAGGAACTGAAGTCAGGTCCTCTGGAAGAGAAAATAGTGCTCTCTCTCAACCACTGAGCCACTCTCCATCCCCCTTTCCAATCTCCAGCCCACAGCCCAGTCTCCAGCCCACAGCCCAATCTCCAGCCCACAGCCCAGTCTCCAATCTATAGTCCAGTCTCCAGCCTACAGTCCAGCTTCTTCAGGCTTCCAGTATGGACTGAAGACCATCAGCTCTTAGTAATGCTCTGACCCTTCTGCACCAGAATGGGACTACAGAGACAACAGCTTTGTGGACTAAGCACTGGGTTCTAAGCTTCCCCAGTATGCAGACAACCATTGCTGGGACAACCCAGCCCATATCAGATAAGACATCTTATAAGTGCTCTTTGTAATAAATGTTCATTCTATTAGTTCCATTCCTCTGCAGAACCCTAACACACCATCTAAATATTTCTGACTCCCAAACTACCAATCCAGGTGTAAATATACAACTTCCTTTTTGACATCATCACATGTCCAAACTAGACTTCCAATAGTCATATACCCTCCTTTCCACCAAAGGAAAATACTGCCAAACCAGCTGGACAGTCTGGATGGCAAGTTCTAGGCATCTTGCTGTCTGCTTCCCCAGCACTGGGATTACATGCACACACCACCGTGCCTGTTTGTTTGCTTGCTTGCTTGCTTGCATGCTCTTAAATACTTGGTTAATGAGGATGGAATTCCTGTCCTCCTGCTCATGCAGAAAACATTGAGCTATCTTCTCAGCTCCTCAAGGTTACCAATTCTCACCACCGTGCAGAGCCTGTAGTGGCTCTCCATTGTATTGGTATCAACTATAGACAAGTGTTCCTGGCCTCTGCTCAGTCCATAGAGTTAGCAAAAGAAGGGACCTGAGAGGCAGATCTTTTGATCATGAGCAACACATCTTTGGATAAGTCACATCATGTCCTGAGCCTCAGTGTCTTCTACTGTGAAGTGTAGACACTGATTCCTGCCTCACGGGGCTGCCAGAAGGAACAAATGAGCTTAGACTTGAAAAACAAACTTTTAATGCTGGACAACAGACAGGGTTGTAGTTTTTTCAAAAGGGATTTTACTAGGAATCTAAATGGAAAATAAAGGTTATGTAAGGGGCTGGGGAGATGGCTTGGCTGTTAAGCACACTCACTTGCTGTCTTGTAGAGGATTCAGGTTAGGTTGTCAGCACCAGGTTCTAACTCACAACCATCTGTACCTCCAGTTCCAAGGGATCCAACATCTTCTGGCTTCCAAAGCACTGGACACACATATGGTGCACATACATAGAGGCAGGCAAAACACTTATATACACCAAGGTAAATGAATAATTTTTTTTTATTGCTGGCATAAGGTTTTTAGGTATTTTGCCTTCATGCCACACAATATTCCAGCTTTTATAGAATGACAAGTCAAGCCACTGATGACTTCGACGTAATTCATTGGGCAACCACCAACCTCAGTCCTAGGTTGTATGGACACTGAGACAAGGCAACATGACACCCCTACAGAGGGAGCCGGGAGAGCCAGCTTGCCAAGGCTCACTGCTGGTCCCCTGGCCTGCTCAGTTTACACTGTCAACCTTTTCTCACCCCACATTTTCCAGGAGCCCTAAGTCCTGCCAAGTGGTCTGACCTTGTCTTAGCTGTATTTTCCCCTCTGGGACGTTTCTGGTTCAGGCCCTAAGGCAAAACCCAAACTGCCACTGAAGTTTCTGATCTCTACAAAAAGTCAACATCCTCCCCATAACTCTAGGTTTGAACTTAGACCCTCTAACAACTGGCTTCTAAAGGCTTGGCAAGTGTGAGCGCGGTGACTCACACTTATAGTCCCAGCCCTCAAGAGGATGAGAGTTTAAGGCCAGCCTGAGCTGGAATGAGATCCTTTGTCAAAACAAGACATCAGGACGGGGTGGAGAAGGGGCATGATGTCACAAAAATTTAAAGGATTATAAGAGACGTCTATGAATAATTATATGCCCAAAAAGGGCTGGTGCAGCCAAAATGGCTGGGTTATATAGGAATCAGAAAAACTGGCGGGGGAGAGGGGTAGCCCAATTCCTGGGGTATGTTCATAGGCATCTCAGTTAGCCATTTGTCCCGTGTTTGAGACCTAACATTAACATACTGAATGACCTTCAAGAAATAGATAAATTCCTAAGAATATACAAATCACATTGAAGACTGAATCATAAAGAAACAGAAAAATTTGTACCTGGGTGGTTCCCACTCCTGTAATCAATGCACTTGAGAGGTGGAGGCAGAAAACTCAGGAGTTGAGGGTCATCCTCAGCTACATAGTAAGTTTGAAGCTATTCTCACCTATGTGAAACTCTAATCCGAGAAGTGGAGGGAGAGAGCTAGGGAAAGAGAGAGAGGAGGGAAGGGGAAGGGAGAGGAGGGGGAGCTGTGGTATACACCTAGACACCCAGCCCTTGGGAGGTAGAGGCAAGATCAGGCGTTCAAGCCAGACTTGCAAAGAAAGATCCTACCTCAAGAACAAACAAATAAAACAACTAATGTTTTTCAAAAGCTTTCTAAAAACTAAAGTAAAGGGAAGAGCTCTGGATCCGTTTTATGAAGCCATCATCATCTCTGGTCCATAGCCTGATAAAGACACTGCAAGAGAACAAGAGACTAAAATCCCTAATGAACACTAATGCAAAAATAATCAACAAAACTCTAACAAATTAAATTCAACAGGACATCAAGACAGTTATAAACCATAACTAAGTAGACTCATCCCTGGAATGCAAGAACTTAACATATGAAAATTAATAAGTGAAATGGACCATATAAGCAGATCGAAGAACAAAAACCACTTATCATCTCAGTTGACACAGAAAAACATTCAATATAAATTGAATACCTTTCATGATAAAAAGAAATCACAGAAGAAAACAACTTCCACATAATATAGGCCCATAATGCAAAGCCCACAACTGTCATTCTACAATGAAAGCCATCACTTTCCTCTAAGACCTGGGAAAAGACAGGAAAGCTTTCTCTCACCATTCCTTTTTGTTGTTGTTTTGGTCTTTTGTTTGTGGATTTGTTTTTGTTTTTGTTTTTTCGAGACAGGGTTTCTCTGTGTAACAGCGTTAGCTGTCCTGGAACTCACTCTGTAGACCAGGCTGGCCTTGAACTCACAGAGATCTGCCTGCTTCTGCCTCCCAAGTTCTGGGATTAAAGGCGTGCACCACCACCACTCTGTTACTCTCATCATTTCTGTTCGGTATAGTACTGGAAGTCTTAGTACTTATAAATAAATAAGAAGGGAAGGAAGGAAGGAAGGAAGGAAGGAAGGAAGGAAGGAAGGAAGGAGGAGAAAAGAAAAGAAAAGAAAAGAAAAGAAAAGAAAAGAAAGTCCATTCAATTGAAAAGGAAAAAGTAAAATTAGCCAAGGGTGGTGGCCCACTCCTGCAATCCCAACACTTGGGGAGCTGAGGTGGAGGATCAGGATGTTGAGCAATGGCTAGCATGAGGGACACCCTGGAGCCAATGCCCAGGGAATGTAAACTGTTCAAACAGGAGACACAGAACTATGGCTTCTTCCTGCGAAACAAGGAGGACTCTGACAGCCACCTGGTCCTGGTGATTCAGAAATGGGGAGCCCATTAGAGAAAGCGAGGCTCCTGGATGGAGACAGGGTTCTCAGCCTTCTTGTATGTAAGTGTGCCATGAACATCCTGATGCCTGTGGAGATCAGAAGAAAACACTGGATCCCCAGAACTAGAGTTAGAGATGGTTACAAGCCTCCATGTGGTGCTGGGAACAGAACCCAGGCCCTTTTTGAGGTCGGCCAGTGCTCTTAACTGCTGAGCCATCTCTAGCCCCAGCAAACCATTTTGTTTTGTTTTGTTTTAATGAAAAGACAAATCTGAATAGACATTTCTCTAAAGAGTGAACACTATTAGTCAATAAACACATAGGAAGACACCCGACCCCATTGTTCATCAGGGAAATGGAATTGGATGTATTAGGAAAGATAGGGGCATGGCCAGACATAAGGTGCACTTAAACAGGAGAATAAAGTCCTAGTATTCTTATATATTTCAAAATGTCTTAGGGCTGTGCTTGCTCCAGGAACACAATACTAAAATTGGAATAATACAGAGAAGATCACCATGGCCCTGCACAAGAATGTCATGCAAATTTATGAAATAGTATTGTTTTTAATGTCTTACTCTTGTTTTGATTTTTGAGACAGTCTTGTATGTAACCTTACCTGATCTGGCTCTTGATATATAGTTCCAGATGATCTCTCAGACTCACAGCAATCCTCCAACCTTCCTGCCTTGGCCTTAGGAATTCTGGGATTATGGATGAGCAATGAGCATCACCACACACAGCTACTGCTGTTCCTCCTTCCTCTTCCTCCTCACCTTTCTTCTTCATCTTCTTTTCATTGTTTTGAGATGGAATTTCATTATTACTCCAGGCTGAGTTCAAACTCATAGCCATCACCCAAATGCTGGGATTATATATGCCATTAAACTTAGCTTCAAAATATATAATAGAGATTTTTAAAATATTTCCAACAGAAAAGTGATAAGGGAATATTGGGTGTCTTTGAGAACAATGCAGCCTTTCTCTGCTTGGAGAACCAGGGCTATTAAAGATACCCCAACCATTAGCTTTTGGGTTCACAGACAGACCACAGAGGGTAAATTTTAGAGAGAAATATTTACAGGTACAAGTTCAAGAGGAAGATGCTGTAGGATAATCCTTCTGTACACTGTGATATGTTTTACTCTCATTGGTTAATAAAAAATATCTGATTTGGCCTATAGCAAGGCAGAATAAGGCTAGGCGGGAAAACCAAACTGAAAATACAAAGAAGGGTGCAAGCCAGCTGCCAGAGGAACAAGACAGGTAAAGCCACCAACCATGTGGCAAAATATAGACTAATAGAAATGGGTTCATTTAAGTTGTAAGAGCTATTTAGTAATAAGCCTGAGCTATAGGCCGAGCATTTTGTAATTAATATAAGCCTCTGCATGTTTATTTGAGACCAGGTAGTTGGGATAAAAGAAAAATTCCTCCTCCTTTTACAGGAAAAGAGCAAGACAGAGATAGAGACAGACAGACAGAGATGTGGGTGCATATGGCAGGAGGGGTCTCAGGAAACAGGACAGCATCAAAATGCTAGTCTGGGGCTTTATTTATTCATTCATTCGTTCATTCATTCATTCATATGTTTGTGTACATTTGTACACATGAGTGCAAGTGCCTGTGGAAGCCAGAGGAGTATCAGATCCTCTGGAAAGCTGCAGCCACTCAATGTGAGTGCTGAGAACTGAACTTGATCCTAGCACAAGCAGTATGTACTTTTAAAAAGAAAAAGAAAAAAAAAACAGGGTCTCAATATGTAGTAGTGACTGGCTTGTTATGTAGACCAGGCTGACCTCAAATTCAATGAAATCCACCTGTCTCTGTCTCCTCAGTCCTGGGATTAAAGGTGCCACCACTGTTGGCTATAATACAAGCTCTTAATCACTGAGCTATCTCCCCAGCCCTGCGACTAGCAGCCTTTTTGAAAAGGCTTCTGGCAAAAACTAAGGTGAGGTGCAGGGAAAGAAGGAGACGGTCAGTCCAGAAATCCAAGCGCCTCCTTCCCTTCCCAGTCAAGCTTACGCATACAGCCTTTAGGCAAAGGAGCTCCTTCAGGGGATAACAAAGAAACAAGGGCCCTGCTCTTCTCTTCTGTCATGTCTGCTTCCAGCAAGGATGTTCTCAGAACTACTGTTTGAGGTCCCTGCCCTACAGAACCAGATTGTATCTCCTGTTCTTATCAAACAGACACATGTTTGAAGGGGCAGACAAGATAATTACTTTGATTTGATCATTATTATACATTGCACACGTGTGTCAAGTTGACATTGCACCTCATGAAATACACACAGTTGTCATATGTTAGAAATAACCACACTGAGAAACACATGTTAGGATGCTCACAATAAAAAAAAAAAATCAAAATATAGAAAATGTTGGAAAACAGACATGGAAATGCATGTCACTCTAGGAAGGTAGAGGCAGGAGGATCCAGAGTTCAAGGTCAACTTCAGTTATTACATGTAGCCAGTTCAAGATTAGCCAAAGCTACATGAGACCCTGTCTCAAAACAACAAAACAAAACAAGCAACCCCCCAACACACAAAACTGTAAACAGAAGGAGGGAGCTCCTAAGGGAGGAAAGGGAACCAGATAGATGGGACATGCCATGGGGAGAGCAGAGAACCTGCCTCACAAGGTTAAAAAAAGAGAAGGCACAAAACCAGAGATCGTGGTTCTGTTTACAGCATGTGCTTAGCACAGCTGAGACACTAGGTTCAAATCCCGGTGCTAGAGGAGGAGGAAGACAGGAAGTGTTGATAAAGATGTGAAGCCGGTGATGGTAGCGGTGCACGCCTTTAGTCCCAGCACTGGGGCTCCAGGACGGCCAGGGCTGTTACACAGAGAAACCCTGCCTTGAAAAAACAAACAAAGAAACAAGCAAAAAGATGTGAATAAAAAAATAGGTGGAGCCTCTGTGTGTTGGTAAAGTTGCAAAATGTTGCCACTACTGTGGAAAACAGTCTTGAGATTTCCCAATAAAGTAAAAATAGGTTAACACAATAGCTCACTGGGTTAAGAGCCAGGTTGACCAGATTGACACAGCCAAAACACAACCATACGCTCTCTGAAAATCTGGAGAGGAAACAGAAACCAAGGAACAGAGCACCCACCCAACAAAGACAAATCCAGGAATCAGCACCTACACCTATAGTTCTCCAGTCTCAGACGTCTAAATGCCAGCATAAGAACACAATCAATAACATCCAGGGCAATATGTCTCCACCAGAGCCCAGCTATCCTATCACAGCAGGCTCTGAATATTCCAACATAGCTGAAGTAAGAAAATAACCTTAAAACCAACCAAGTATATGAAGATGAAGATTTATTTTTAAAAGAGAAAAATAAATAAGCCCCTCAAGGAAAGCCGGGAAAACACAAACAATTGAAGGAAATGAATACATCCCTTAAAGAAAGCCAAGAAGCAGGGCGATGGTGGAGCGCACCTTTAATTTCAGTACTCGGGAGGCAGAGGCAAGAGGATCTCTATGAATTTGAGGACAGCCTGGTCTACAAAGCTACACAGAGAAAACCTGCCTCAAAAAAAAAAAAAAAAAAGCCAAGAAAAAACAAACAGTTGAAGGAAATGAATAAAACTGTTCAAGACCTGAAAATGGAAATAGAAACAATAAAGAAAACACAAATTGGGGGGAATCTGGAAATGAAAAATTTAGGAATTAAACAGGAACTACAGAGGCAAGCTTCACCAACAAAATACAAAAGATGAAAAAGAGAATCTCAGTCACTGAAGGTAGGATAGAACAAATGGATGCATAGGTCAAAGAAAATGTTACACCTAAAAAATTCCTTACACAAACATCCAGGAAATCTGGGACACTGTGAAAAGACCAAACCTAAGAATAATGGGAATAGAGGAAAGAGAAGAATCACAGTTCAAAGGCACAAAATATATTTTCAACAAAATCATGGAAGAAAATTTTCCTAACCTAAAGAAGAAGATGCCTATAAAAGTACAATAAGCATAGAGAACATCAAATAGAGTAGACCAGAAACTTCCCCTCGACATATAACAGTCAAAACACTAAACATACAGAATAACAAATATTAAAAGCTGCAAGGTAAAAAGACCAAGTAACAAATAAAATTATATACACCTATTAGAATTACACAAATTCTCAAAAGAGACTCTAAAAGCCAGAAGGGCCTGGACAGATGTGCTGCAGACTCTAAGAGACCACAGATGCCAGCACTGACTATTATATGCAGCAAAATTTTCAATCACCATAAATGGAGAAAATAGGATATCCCATGATAAAGTCAAATTTAAACAATATCTATCTACAAATCTAGCCCTACAGAAGGTGATAGAAGGAAAACTCCAACCTAAGGAGGTTAACCACCCCCCACCCACCTAGCCGCCCCCCCCGTGAAAACACAGGAAATAAAATCTCACACCAGCAAAACCAAATGAAGGAGAGCACACACTGCTGACACACACACACCAACAACAGCAACAATAAAATAACAGGAATAAAAAAAAAATAACAGGAATCAACAATCATTGGTCATTGATATCTCTCAATATCAATGGTCTCAAATCCCCAATAAAAAGATACAGACCAACAGAATAGATGTGAAAATAGAATCCATCCTTCTGTTGCATGCAAGAAACACAACTCAACATCAAAGATAGACGTTACCTCAGAATAAAGGGTTATTAGAAAAAGATATTCCAAGCAAATATACCTAAGTAGCAAGCTGGTGTAGCCATTTTAATATCTAACAGAAACAATAGAAAGCTTATAAACTCATGGAAACTGAATGATTCTCTACTGAATGAAAAATGAGTCAAAACAAAAATAAAGAAATTAAAGACTTTTTAGAATTTGATGAAAATTAGTACACAGCATACCCAAAATAAAGGACACAATGAGAGCAATGCTAAGATGAAAGTTCATAACACTAAGTGCCTACATAAAAAAACTGGAGTGATCTCATACTAGCAACTTGACAGCACACCTGAAAGCTTTTGAACAAAAAGAAACAAGCACACAAAGAGGAGTAGATGGCAAGAAATAATCAAACTAGGGGATGAAATCAATAAAATAGAAACAAAGAAAACAATACAAAAAACATCAATGAAACAGATAGTTTGTTCTTTGAGAAAAATCAGCAAAATAAACAAACCCTTATCCAAACTACCAGAAAGGCAGAGAGAGAATATCCAAATTAACAAATCAGAAATTTAAAAGGGCATATAACAACAGACACTTAAGAAATTCAAAGAACCATAAAATGTCTTAGTTAGGGTTTCTATTGCTGTGAAAAGGCACCATGACCATGGCAGCTCTTAAAAAGGAAAACATTTCATTGTGGTGGATAGCTCACAGTTCAAAGGTTTAGTCATTATCATCAGGGAGGGACATGACAGCGTGCAGGCAGACATGGTGCTGGAGAAGCAACTTAGAGTTCTACATCTTGCAGGCAACAGGAAGTAGTCTGAGACACTGGGTGGTATCTTGAGCACACATGAGACCTCAAAGCCTCCCTTCACAGTGCCACACTTCACTTCCTCCAATGAGACCACACCTACTCCAACAAGGTCACACTTCGTAATAGTGCTACTCCCTTTGGGGACCATTTTCTTCAAACCACCACATAAAGACATACTTTAAAAACCTGTACTCCACCAAATTGGAAAATCTAAAAGAAATGGATAGTTCTCTTGATAGGTACCACTTTACAAGTTAAATCAAGATCAGATAAACAATTTAAATAGACATATAAACCCTAGTGAAATAGAGGTAGTCATTAAAAGTCTCCCACTCAAAAAAAAAAAAAAAAAAAAAAAAAAAAAAAGCCCAGGACCAGTCAGTTTTAGTGCAGAATTCTGTGTCCCAGAGTTTCAAAGAAAAGTAATGTCAGTACTCCTCAAATTTTCCACAAAATAGGAACCGAAAGAGCATTGCCCAGTTCATTTTATGAGGCACAGTTACCCTGATATCCAAACCACATAAAGACTCAAAAACAAGAATTACACACCAATTCCCCTTATGAACATAGACATAAAAATACTCTCTTTCTCTTATTAGTTTTTCATGATAGTGTTTCTCTATGTAGCCCTGGCTGTCCTGGAACTCACTTTGTAGACCACACTAGCCTCAAGCTCACAGAGAAATGCCTGCCTCTACCTCCTGAGATCTGGGACTAAAGGAATAAGCCACCACAGCCTAGCTTAGGGATGAATATCTGGTCTACGGGTTTTGTTTTTTTGTTTGTTTGTTTGTTTGTTTGTTTGTTTTGTTTTACTAGCTTTGTAGACCAGGCTGGCCTTGAACTCACAGAGATCCACCTACTTTTGCCTTCCAACTGCTGGGATTAAAGACATGAGCCACCACTGTCCAACAAAAATACTCAATAAAATACTTGCAAACTGAATCCAAAAACACATCAAAAAGATCATCCACCATGACCAGATATTCAGAGATGGTTCAACATCAAAAATCAGTAAATGTAATCCACCGTATAAACAAACTGAAAGAAAAACTTCATGATCATCTCATTAGATGCAGAAAAGCCCTTTGACAAAATTTAACAACCCTTTATGATGAAAGTTCTGGAGAGATCAGGGACACAAGGGATATACCTAAACATAATAAAGCCAATTTACAGCAAGCCTACAGTCAACATCAAATTAAATGGAGAGAAACTCAAAGCAATTCCATTAAAATCAGGAACGGGA